TGTGTGTGTGTGTGTGTGTGTGTGTGTGTGTGTGTGTGTGTGTGTGTGTGAAGTCAGGAAACAGGGCTAGTAATATAAAACCAGACTGCTATGAGTTGACCTTTTTTTCTTTGGAATTGCAGGTTATTGCCAGAATAGTGGATGGCAGTAAATTTGATGAGTTCAAGGCTTTTTATGGAGACACGCTTGTTACAGGTAGATTGTTTTCAATTTCTCCAACGCAGAGAATTACGATTTGCTTGGAGTGTTTTTTTATTTTTATTTTCCAACATTTCATTTCCAATTTGTGCTCGTGCAGGATTTTCGAGAATATTTGGTTACCCTGTCGGAATCATCGGCAACAACGGAGTCTTGTTTTCAGAGTCTGCAAAAAAGGTATTTATGCCTCGAACCCACGGCAGCATTAAGGCGAATAGTTTTTGAAAGCATAAATAAACGTCCCGCATTGTGAAAACCTGTGCAGTGTTAAATGCCGAGCCCTGTGATCACCGTGAAGAGGCAGCATTATAATGTTTATGCACCTGTGAAAATGTCAAGGACTTAAAACACAATACTGAAGCAGTTCAGGTAATCAGGTAATCTCCATGGGGAATTTGCTGCTTACCYCGCTGAATACCAATATGTCTCTCCTGCAGTAGCTTAGTGTTCATAGATGTTTTATAATGACTCTTCACAGTCACAGGTGCAGGCTTTTTCACATTGAATAAGCTCTCAAATTGCTCTTGTCTTTGTTATTTCACGAGCACTCTGATGAATGGCGTTTTAATACCATAGCATTTTAAAACTGTGGACAAGAGACAATCAGAATTTTCTTTTTTTATAACTCACTTAACTTGGAAGCCAATTTGCTGTGAGCAGAGCTGAACTTTACGCAGGCTTAGAGAAGATGATGAGCTGAGTTTGTGATRTTACACCAGTACGGTTTCCCAAACGCATTTGGAATTAGATTACAAGCTTGACTCWGAGAAAGATTTCTTTGATTCGTTTTCTTTCTGTCGGGTCTCTGCATWAAAGCTCAGACCAAGGCCGTCTCATCAGTGTAATTACTGTCAAAGAGGACGGACGGTGTTTTGTGCCGAGGAGATGTGACTGAAGAGCATATTCAAGAAAAATCAATACAGCACCTGCTTTTCACGATGCATTTATGAGACACTCTGTCATCATTTAAAACAGGCTTGTGCTTCTGGTATAATAGCTGTTGGGCTATTTAAAAGCCCCCCCCCAGGTATTTTATTTATGGAAAGGAAACAAATAACCTTTTGTTATTTGCATTTTTTAGAGCAAACTGATGGATTATTTTTCACAGCTTAAGCTGTTTCACATAAAAGTCTAATAAAAGTGACTTCCAAAATAAAGCAAACACATTTTTAATGTAATGATCGTAGCTCTTAACTCTTCTTCAATGTAAGGAATCTTTTAAATATGTTAAATAATTCACTTTTTCTCAGGGGACYCATTTCATTGAATTATGCTGCCAGCGAAACATTCCTCTTGTTTTCCTTCAAAACATAACAGGTTGGTACAGATTTTGTCTCTACGTTTTTAGGTGTACTGTCGGGGGTCTTTGTTTTGTTTTGGTGTTTATACATTTGTTATGTAATCTTAAGATACAGGATGTCAGTTTAAACTTTAACAGATTCACAGCATGATGTAAAAATTTGTCTCTTTCCTTTGAGATGTCTCAAACTTTTTTTAAATTTGTTTGCTTTTATTCCTCCATTATTTTTTAACCTCAGGTTTTATGGTGGGAAGGGAGTACGAAGCAGGTGGAATTGCCAAGGATGGAGCCAAGATGGTCACTGCTGTTGCCTGTGCTAATGTACCCAAAGTTACTGTTATCATCGGAGGCTCCTACGGTGCAGGAAACTACGGCATGTGTGGACGAGCATACAGGTACGAAGCATCAGATGAGAGATGTGTTGCAGTAGTTTAAAAAACAAGAACAAAATGTTCTCGGTTTTGTTTGGGAATGAATGCACACTTACTTTTGAAGGATTTGCATGAGTAGGAAAAATCAGCTTGTTTTCTTGAAGACACAGCTTTCAAATACTGTTCATTTCCTGTAGGTAAACCTTTTTTTTGAGGGGGAGGGATGACTTTTTTTTACTTTATTGTCCATTTGTCCACTTTCCTCATTTATTCAGGCATAGGGATGGTGTGATTTATGATTCAATCGTCTATCTGCGATTGAAGGGTTGGAATGCGATTTGTTTCTTTTTTAAGGGCGATTTTTATTAATTAATTAAATGCTTTGCCAGGGATGTAAAATAAATTTTAAATGCGCCCGTCTCTTTAAATTAAAATGTTTTAATCATCATCATTGTGATCTGTGCAATTGAGGGAATAAAATAACAGTGCTGCGTCTCTTTTTTTTCTTTTTTTTTTTCTTTTTCTCGGAGTCGGAGCCAACGTGTGCAGCTCCTCTTCACGTCTCTCCTTTTCATCTTCTTGCGTTGGTGCGCCACAAATGGTATAAGTGGTATATTATAACGTTTAGTTACAAAACGAATAATTCATGATAATCATACGTTTGAACAAATAACTAACCAGTTCCGAACCAGACCGGAGCGCACTCCCTCACCCCTGCTCATCCCCGTCAGTCTGGGCTCTGGTGTGCGGGTCGAACTTTTCACCCCCCTCCACATAAGAACGCATAAAATTTGTGGGAGTGTTTGTTTGTGCTAAAAGCGCTCAGATGCTGCGTTTGCTTCAACCACTCGCTTAAAAAAAGAAAGAGAGAGAGAGAAAAACGTGACTCGTTCGAACGCCGACTACCAGGAAGCAGCGATTTATAAAGATAGTCAAACTGAGTCAAACGGCCAAAACCTCATAAAAGGAGATAAAACAGATGATTTTCACGGTGAAATCTGACTGATAAAAACTTTTGAGCTTAATCCTGGACCAATTTGTGGATAAACAATGTCGAGTGACGAGTGTCTGACTTTTTATTTTTCTGCATTGGATTCTCTTTTTTTTAACAACGTAACTGCGCATGCCTTCTCAACCGATATGATCGTCTATTGGCGATAGCCAGTGACCATGATTTATGATCTGAAAATAGGGACGATTTTCCATCCCTATRCAGGCACACGGTGCACAGTCGGGTACAAGGACTGAAAGAAAAAAAAGAGTGAAAAAAAATAGCTCAAGTACAAAGAAAACACTTGAAAGGTTGCAGGAAAACTTAACTCCATGGAAGTGAAATACAAAAGAATTTAAAGTGTTTTAAAACAAACTGATGTTTGTGGTGTTATCAGGACAATAACAGACTTTTTAAAATTTAACATTAATATACAACATGTAGAGGAAAGAATAAAACTAATAGTTGCAAATTCAGAGTTGTCATTTTTGGCTGTGAGTTTTATTCATTAGTTGAAATTTCATTTTACACGTTCTTTTCCCACMTAATTGAGTTTGAATTTGTCATTCTGTCGTAATAAAACATTTATTTTTTTTAACAGCCCACGATTCCTCTACATGTGGCCAAATTCCCGAATCTCTGTGATGGGTGGTGAGCAAGCAGCAACCGTTCTGGCCACCATCACTAAAGATCGGACGGCGCGCGAGGGGAAGGAGGTAATGACTATCTGCCCATCTGGGTTTCTCCTTTGAAAAAAAGCATAAACCGGTGTCTAAACTGCTGCCACAAAAACGTTTTAAAAGTCACTTTTCATTCTGTAATGTCTTGACGTGGCTGAGTAAAATTAGATGGGCGTTAAGAGTTGCTGTGATGACTTATCCAGAATAGTTGCTCCCATCAAACAGCTGTAATTAAACGGTGTCAGGTTTGCTGCTCTGGTTGTATTAAAAACACATTAACGACTTCAGGATGACGTCTCACATCACTGCTGTGGTGACAAGCTTTAATGACACGCAATATGTCTTATTGTAAAACGATAATAGAGCCTAATTATTAGTCAGGTTTTTTAATACATATCTCAGTACGTTTTCTTTCTGTATTATTGTGTATAACTACAGATGAACTGAATTAGCTCTGTATCAAACAGAAATCAAAGAGGAAACAAAATTATCTTTCTTAAACCAGAGTAAAACAGTTGATTGATAATTTGCGTTATGTGTGCCTGTGGTGAATATTATGTAGGTAGTTGTTGATAACTCACTTAATGATGGGTATTTTTACTGAACTGATAGAGGTTTTTGTATTTCCATTGAACTGATTTGTTCTCCTRGTTTGCTTTTGTTACAGATTTAGACTAATTGAGTAAATTAGACGGTTATTTTATTTTTTACTCTGTTTATATCATTGCCTTCTTTGTTTGCAGGTTTATTTCCTCCRACAGCAGCCAGTCTTTCATAACTCACTGAGTTCACTCGTCAGATTCAATTTAATGGAAACCCACGAAGCAGATAACATTTATAAATATTTAAAAAGGGGTTACATTCTGTCTGTCAGTGCAGTCCAGTATTCGAACGTCTTATTGAAGGTTAGAATGGAGGAATTYCTCAGTGAGGAGATATTTCTTTTGATCTGTAAAAACTTTAGTTAGTTGAGAAAAGAAGTTCTAACAGGTTCTAACCTGTTCACTGATGTCTACAGTTAGTTAAAGGCACTACAAGTTATATACAGTATGTTACAGGGTTGGGCGATATTGGCAAAATAATCACGATTAATTATGGTATTTATGAATGAATGAATGAATGAATGATTTTATTTGGTCACATTAAAGAACACTCCACACAAAAACAAACAAAACTTTAACCCTATATGACCAAATAGGTAGAGGCAGAAGCCAATAGCTTGTTTTGCCTCACCTTACAATTCATAATGGATCCCCCAAAACAAAATACACAAAAAACACACATACTTCATCTACATCCTGGTTATATGCAAATCATTAATACAGTTTTTTTTTATCAACAATATCCTTATTATTGTCCGTACATGCAAAACAAATATGTAATATATCATCACAACTGACTACTACAAACCATAACTCATAATTAATTTTCTTTTTAACTTCTTTTTGAAACTTAAAAGAGTGTCACCAAACTTAATTTCATCATTTAAATTATTCCACAATGTAACACCCAATACTGAAACACATCTGGATTTGATATTTGTTCTTACTTTATGTACTTCAAAAACAAAGAACCCCCTTAAATTATAATTATTTTCCCGTAACTTAAAAAAATCTTTGAATACCATCAGGAAGACTATTTATTCTTACTCCATATAGTAACTCCAGTGTTTTTAAATACACTATGTCACTAAATTTTAAAGCAGAAGACTTTAAAAACAGTGGGTTTGTGGAATCAAAAAACACAGCATTATTTATTAATCTAATTACTCTTTTTTGAAGTTTAAATTTAGCRGATAACGATTAGATTTGATGATGATTAATCCCCTGGAGTCCCTGGACACCTGCATGTCCTGTTCACATGACCAGTTTAAATCACTCTAGTGGGAAAGATTGGCTTTGTGTAAAAATCTGTTCCAAGTTGTGTCAAAAGTACAGACTTTCAGGCTATACATAAATTTTTCAGTTGTGTTGATATGTCAAGTAAAAACTTWAAAAAAAAAGTCCTTCATATTTGAAGCGGAGAGGAGCACCGAGCAGACTGACATCTCCAGTCAGTCTGCCTGGCAGCATTAATSGTCAAGTTTTCTGATGAGTAATTGCACAAGATACAATTTTGCCCTACCCTAGTATGTAATCAGAAGTTCTACCAAAAGTCTCCGTTTTGTTGCAAAAAAGCAGTTTTATTTATAATAAATATCTCGAAATCTAAAATCTTTGAAATATGTTGATTTCTTAGAAATACGTTTATCCATGTTGTTGTCTTTAGTTAAAAACATAAATTGTACAATAGCACCGTAAGCAAAACTAAATTTATTTTTAGCTCTAATTCTGTCTTTTAATCATAAACAGTGTTGTTTGTATSGTGTGTTACTTTAATGCCTGTTTTTCAAAGAAGGGTCATTTTAAAAAWGGTTTGAGACACAGAATTGAGGTGAATTTTGTGTGATATTTGGTGAGATTCCTTCCTCAGCATGTGTGCGTTGTAGAGAAACGATAGCTGGGCTGTAATGATATCAGCTCTGCGTGAGGTTTGTTTTAAACGTGCGCATCAGAAACACATCCTCTGGTGCTGTGGGAAAACTAGCAAAGGTTAAAACTTGCTAAGTTAGATTATTATTTTTATCACTTACAGAAAAAGCTCTAAATAATGTTTTCTGGATGTATAATATGTATATTGTGGCTATATGTATCTTATTATGAGCTCCAAAATTAAATCAGATTGTTGCTCAGTYATGAATCAAAATATGTGGAAATTTATTCTTGAAACCACTTAAAGAGATTTTTTTCATTTTTGAGTGTGTTCATCCTTTATGTTCGTATTTGTAGTTTAGTTTCCTGATGCAAAGCTTCTCGTATCTGTGAAGCTGAACTAAGAGCTCTAAAAAGCTGTTACATTTGCTCAGGGATTTTTTTCATATTTCTTTTTTATTTTTTTCCCTTTATTTCCTCACACGTATCGGCTCTGTAGTTCCAAGCTGATGAAACTGGCCTTCGTGACACATGAAACAGCTGTGTGCTTTCAGCTTTACATTTCACTACACCTCCAATAGCTCAGACAACCTTTAAAATGCCTCTGGCTCCAGCCCTTATTACCGTCTTCTGTTTTCACGATTTATTCACAGTTCACAGCAGAACAAGAGGCTGCCATGAAGGAACCAATTATTCGGCGGTTTGAAGAGGAAGGCAGCCCGTACTACTCCAGTGCCAGGTGAGATTTGGTTGCGACACATCGTATCTCTCAGGCAGCCGTGGATTGAAATTAAAGTATTCAAAAGCTGGGCTCAGTCTATCTATATTTCTTTTGGTTTGGATAGTTCCAGGAGAAAGTGCTGTTTGGAGAATTTTTGGGTACTCATTAACTTTCTTGTTTTCCTCTATTTATTTAGAAAAAAATTCAACATTTCATGAGATTTTTTATACATATTTTTTTAACAAACAAGAAGCTATAAAACAGCCTCTATTGGGGCTGATGCTGTTAGTGTTTCTTCTCCATTTGATGGCCTGTTGTTTGGCTTTTTCATTTTATTCTTGTGCTTTGTGATCAATAAATTTGTGCGTAAGGCACAAGTCAGATGATAATGTCACAAATCATAAAGTGGCAAACCGTGTGCAGCTGATGTTTCAACAGATTATATTTTCATATGAAGATGATTTTTTTGTCACTTCAGTAGAAAACGAAACCAAATATTATTAGTTTATTTAGTTTATTTATTTCTTCATCATCAGTGACTTTTTTTAAGTGAAGAGAAAATAGAGAAAGAGAGAAAAACAGAGAGAGAAGTAATTAGAAAGATTGAAATAGCGATTAGAAGTATATTAAATATACACCAAGAAAACACAGGACCACACACCCAACATCTGTCCGCTCACCTGAAAAATAAATGGATAAATACATGGAGGGCATATATAAAAATATACATATACCCATACATATATAAAGATATACATACATACATGCCTACATTCATAAATATTGTCAGTATATACACACAGACATAAATACACACTCAGTGACCWGTCAGAACCCCCCGGATCAGAGCACCTGTCTGTGAGCGGTTGTGAACATGCGTGTATATTAGGGTTGGGCAATATTGGCAAAAAAATTAATCACGATTAATAGTGGTTTTTAGCCGATAACGATTAATTTGACAATTAATCCCCTGAAGTCCCTGGACACCCTTATTTCGTAGTCACATGTCATAGTCTCATGACCAATTTAGTGGGAAAGATTTGCTGTTTGTAAGAAATTGTTCCAAACTGTGTGAAAATTACAGTCTTCAGACTATACATCATATTTAAAATTGTGTAGATAGATAAATAAATTACAAAACTTTATTTTTAATGTTCGTCATATTTGAAGCAGAGAGGAGCACCGAGCGGACTGACCGAAATAATCCCCAGTCAGTCCACCTGGTGGCATTAATCGTATTAATCGTAAAGTGCCAAAAACTAATCGATTGTTTTTCTGACGATTAATTGCACATGATACGATTATGCCCAACCCTAGTGTGTATACAAGATTTCTCCAATGGAATATTTAATAGTGACTGTGGAGGACCGGAGACCCAACCCCCAAGACACGAGGCAGACAGAGGGAAGACCAGAGCCCAAGGGCCCGAGAGGGATCRKGAGCGCAGAGCCCCATATTAAGATGATTTAATTTAATGTGGGAAGAGCCTCACTGAGGTTTAAAACATTTTATGGGAACGTTCCTGCTAGTCTCAAGCTTCCAGGTCTCATTTAATGCTCGACTGATGTTTGGAATAATATTGTTTGGGTTTTGTACAATGGTTGGTTTATTTATAACTTACAGTAAACTTCTGTAGCAACACAGGTCATTGTCTGTTTAAGCTTGAAGCTCTTTGCTGAGAAAATATCGCACTAATTCTGTACTAAGCAGCAAGGTTATAATAGTTTTGGATTTTTCATTATAGTTTAGTTTTATTTTGTTTTGACTTTTGAATTAATTTTTACAGTGGATTTGCTAGTTTTTATTAATGCATTTTAATGCTTAGTTTTAGTTTAGTTTTTATTAGTTATAGTATTAGTTTTTTATATAGTTTATTTGCCAATGCATTCTCCAGCTTGTGATGTTCCTGTTCACTAACCAGCAGCTATTTGGTCACTAGTGAAAGCAGTCCATTATAGCAACACCTTCTTAAAATGATTGCGTAACTCAATTTTGCCAACTACAAACTTGGGTGATTATTTTAGGACGATGATGGTAGTTGTTTCCAAACTGTTGCTTGTTTTTCACAGGATCTACTGAGAGAAGCTAGCGTGTCAAGATAGTCATAGTTAGCATGTTGTGTGAGTTTGATTCATACAGTTTTTCCCTTGATAAGTATTTCACCTGTTTTATCACCTGTTTCCACTACAAGACACTTGCTTTTATTTTTCTCGCAGCCATATTCAAAGAAAGCCCAAAGTGGACTTTGCCGCTTTCTCCCAATTTTGTTGTCGTCYTTTAGCAGGCGATGCTGAGCAGCAGACTGTAAATAAGTGTTGTTACGGTCCACAGCTAATGTGAAACTACTCGATTTGGAAAAAAAAAAAGATCCACATGTCTGAAAATAAATTGACAAACACTAAAACTAAGGATATTCTATCTATAATTTCAGTTAGTTTTAGTTAGTTTTGTAAAAAGATTATATAGTTTTAGTTAGTTATCAGATTTTTTTTCATTTTATTACAGTTTTTATTTATTTTAGTTACCTAAAATATTTTTTGAATTTCAGTTTTCGTTATTTAGTTAGTTTTAGTTAACTATAATAACTCTGCTAAGGAGCTTCATGATCATTTGTAGGATTTTGTATTAGTTCAGTAGTTTCTACAATTATAATTTATGTTTTTATGGTTTAATACAACAATGACATCTACTTGAAATGGTTGTATTTTTGCAAGAATTTGGTGATGTGACCCCTGTGCTGTGGTACGTATCATATTGCGATAAATTGCGATACTGTAAGTAAGACAGTATATTGCCATGTTTTTCTCCAAACGATTCTAATAAAAAAAACAGTTAAAAGTGAGAACAGCATTTAACTGAGAATCAATACATTATCTGGAAATGAAATATTGCCTGATATATTTATTTAAAATCAATACGCTGAAATATATATTTCAGCGTATTGATATTTTTAGGGATGCACGATATATCGGTATTGATATCGGTATCAGTCCGACATGTAAAACTGGGCCGATATTAATGTCTGATATTGATTTCCCACTTTTTATCTTTGTGTTTCTGTTTTGGGAGGGGAGATGTTTTGTTGAGCGGCATCTGTTTGATCATGATAGTGATATTGACGCTGCGCAGCCAGGAATAACTGAAGTAGGGAGCCATGTCAGAGGTTTGGTTGTTTATTTACAGTATCAAAAAAAGACCCAAGTGTGTTTTTGGGTGTATGTATAATATAATTTGTGTGTTTGTGTAATATCGGTAAATATCAGTTATCGGCCATAACAGGAATAATTATATCGGATATCGATATCGGCTGAAATTTTCATATCTGTGCATCCCTAGATATTTTCTTCCACCCCTGCTACTTGGGTCTACTCGATGTGGTTTTAGATAAAACTTGAGTGCCTCTTCGATGTGGGCGGGATTATCACATCGCTTCCCAAAACTTCTGCAACAAGCTTTTCTTTAGTAAAACATGTTCGATTTGAAAGCCTGAATTAAACACAAGAAACCAATCTGGTACAGGGACCACCACACAGAGCTGGGCCACTTGGCGAGACCTGAAGTCCGTGGTGCAGCTCGGTCCAACACTGTGAGGTGACTTTACATGTAGGAAAATAAATATTCAAGTCCGATCACTTTCCTGCTTTCAATATGAACATGTTTTACACGGCCCAAGGCAAAGACAATAATGTTTCACCAGTTTCCAAAAATGCCARGGCCGAGTCGAGGCCACTTTCCCTCCACAGCTCGGAGCCTGTTGATCCAGATAGTTTGGTAAATAACAGTAACAAACGCTGTMGCTGGAGGGTTCTAAAAATGGTGGGTTTGATCGTTGCGAAGGAGACACACTCGTGATTAATGTCGCTCACTGACCAATCCAAGCTTTGAAGGGTCCAGGCAGAGGAAACATAACCTTAATTTATTATTTTTGTTATTAATTGTTGTGGCTTCAACAGATTGTAGACCTTTCATAGTTTTCAAGGTGCAATAGTCTCAAGATGTAATTTACCATGTGAAGCACTTTGTTTTTACAGACTGTGGGACGATGGCATCATTGATCCCGCAGACACTCGCCTGGTTCTGGGACTGAGTCTCAGCGCAGCGCTCAACGCACCAACAAAGAAGACACAGTTTGGAGTCTTCAGGATGTAACGCATAACATATTTATAATTTACTTTATAGTTTTTTTAGTGTTGGGTTATTTTTTGTGATTTGTCACTCAAATCAAAGGAACAAACGAAAAGAAGATTTCAAAGCGATGTGAGGATGGGATTTTGGGACATCTCCTGTTAAAAAGTTGTGCCTCATTGTTCCTGTTCCAGTGTAAATGCAACTGTAATAATAGAAAATGWTGAGTTGATTCTGCTTTTATTCATCACATTCTTCAAATAAAGATGAAAAATTCTCTTGACTGACTTGCTGGTTGTCTTCATAAGGGGGCACTGTTCAGCCAAAAATACCAGACTTCATACCTTTTTTCAGAGAAACCAGATGTCTTTATCATTTTCTTTCTGAACCAATCTATTTCTCATAGTAGTAATTTAATGGTAAATAGCTGMCTATGAACCTCTGCGGTGTCAAATGTGCAGTTTTGTGCTAAAGCTGAAGCAGGTCTTTACCAGCCGACTGCCTTTTTGTTTTTATGGCTTCTCGGCTTTATTTCTTTCACCGAACAATTGGTTTTCTCACATATTTGTAATAGTTCTGATTATTTTGACAAGGAGTCTCTGTTTTATTCCATAAGGACCGAGGCCACAGATTTGGTGCACCGGTAAATTTGCGTGTTTGCATGAAGCCAGCTGGTTAAAGTGCTTAACTGGAAGCCCTTCATGCTTGTGTGTGAATGACAGAGGCTGTGGAGAGGCTCACCTTTGGGAGAGCAGAAATAACTCGGGAGCATCACATCTTCCAAGTGTGTAAGTGTGTGTGTGTGCTGCCCACACTTTGCACCTTTTTAAAAAAAAAAACTGGTTTGCTCGATTCGCCTTCATCATCCTTCACCAAATGTCAGTGTAGGAGGCACGGCCGAGCCTCGGCTTTTCGATTTCAGTTGTAAGCAGCAGCACTGAGATCCGGTGATTCAGAAAAGTTTTGTGCATTTTAAAACGTAACAAAAAAACTGACAAAATAAAGATGCGATTACTTCTGATCCACGCTGCTTTTTGCATCTTTGCGATGATCGTTTTCTGGACAGGAGAGCGAATTTATCTTCTGCCTCCACGCCGCTGTGGAGTTCTTTGCCTTCGAGGTTCACGGCCTGCCTGTGCACACACTGGATTAAAAGGCATTTGAGACAAATTGTCAGGCGCACAAGACAGGCACTCTCATTAATGGCAATGCGCAGATAGTTTGTCTCAGAGAAACTGAGTGACTTTGGGGCTGTTGGACAAGGCTGAAAGCACAGAGAGACATTTTAGATCTGCTTCAACCGTCAAACCAGGATGGTTCAAGGCAGCAGTGGCAGCAACAATCTTTTGATGGGTGTAAAATTTTAATGCTCGTGACACGTCAGTGTCGCGCTCTGTAAAAAAAAAAGTGACGTCTGTTTATTTATAGATCAAGACCAATTCATTTTGTGCCTGCAGCTAAAACAAATAGATTACAGGTTGTCTCATGTGCCTGCTGATAAGGTCAGGAGTTCAGTGTCTTGCTTGGACAGTTTATAGATTTGAACAAGATTGGTGTCAAATTTGCTGCAACTGCATCTCACTTAAAATAAATAAAAGTATTTTCTGGGACTTTTAAGAACAAAATCAATCATCAGAATCAATCACTGGAAACAGCAGTTTTACTTTTTTTCAGGAAAAATAAAACATGAAAAAATTAAACAATGTTCAAATCATWGGTTCACATCCGTCATACTCATGTAATCCATCAAGCTTGTTCCATCGTTTTTAAATGAGTGCTTTTAATGGTCAGATAAGCAACTTCTTGATGCCAAACTAAAAACTTTGCTCCTAAAATAACACCAGTTTCAGTCTCTTTTAAAATGTTTTATAGACTGCATAGACAGTAATATTCTCAATAATAGGAAATCACATAACAAATGTAACATTTTCCCCCCATTTTAAATGATTTTTTTTTTACGATTTTGTGCATTTATTGTAACAGATATTCCTAATTTCGCGTTGGTTCTTTTATCTGTTGTTTTACATGGCTAATTTGTTTTGCACGATAGAGCTTTATTCTGCATTGGCTTACAGACTTTCAGCCTTGTTCTTTGAGCTCAGAGGTTTCTCCAGATTCTGTTGACGATATTACAAACTGTTCAAAATCTTTCTTTTGTAAACGAAGCGTATTCTCTTTTTGACTTGTTTTTGTGTGTGATGTACCTCTGTCTTTACTCCTGAGAGATCTGGGCTTTCCTAAAATGCTTTACACAATCTCATTGGGATGATGATGATGATGATGATYATAGTTAATTTTGAAAAGTGAAGTTGTTAACAGGGGACCTATCAGACTGGCATTAAAATAGTTGTTTTTGATGGTGAAAGTTGAGTTTAATTATCTGAAATGTTTTGTCAGTGACAGCAGGATTTACTCTGACATTGTGGCTAACTTTATGTTRCGGCTCCCTGATGAGGAGGAAGGGGGCTCCAGCCTCCGTAGTCTCCTGTGAACCGTTTGTCCGGGGTCCTGTGGTGCAGTCTACGTCCGCATCCCTCCTCAGACCGACAGCACCGGAGAACCAATCAGAGAGCCCGCCGCGCCGAGGCCGTCCAATCAGAGCCTCGGAGGCGGCGCCGTCCTGGTCGTCGTCTCGATGACGTCATGCACAAACAGCTGGTCGCTGGCAAAAAAAAAAAAAGGCAGGAAAAAATGTAGACCAGCACGGCGACCGCAAACTGCAGCCGGGCTGTAGCCCTCCTCTCCGAACGGTTAGCCTCTTTTTTTTTCTTTTCCCCTCCTCCTCCTCCTCCTCCTCTTCCTCCTCCTCTTCCACCATGTGGCAGCTGGAGCCGGGCTCGGGACGGAGCCCTCCGCGGCTCCTCTGGCTTGTTTACACCTTTTTCTGCGCTGTCGGAGGTGAGTGCTTCCCGGTCGGGGTTGTGAGTGTGGCTCCGCTCCGCTCCGCTCCTCGGAGGAGCTGTTCTTTTTGTCGGGGGTGCTGAAATCCTCCCCGCTTCCCGAGCATCCTCTCTGCTGCTGCTGCTGCTGCTGCTGCTTTCACTACACAAAGCGCGTTCCTCTGGTTTTAACGACTGTCTTTGGGTCTGTGTAAAGAGCGGAGGGTTGCTGCTGATTTTGACACAAAATGCTCTGAAATGTTTGTTTGGGCAGCACTAAACTAACTCCCACCACCCTGCAGCCCCTGTGTTGCTGTAAACTTTGCTCTGTTTGGCGTTTAGTTTCAGACCCCTGCTGTAGTAATAACAAATGATAGAGTCCAGTTTTATTTCTAATTCTAATCACATCAGCAGTAAAGTAGAAATGAAAATAGTGTGTTTCTTTAATATAAAGACAAATAAAACCAGATAATTTATTTAGTTTTTCTTGTTAAACATGAAAAAGAAGCAGGCCAGTGGATGCATGATTGTGTCTTGAATGTTTAAGATGTCATTCAGGTTGCAGGTGAAACGAATGGGTCAACAGGAAACCACAGGACAAACTGTACCTGCTGCTGTCACCCCGGACCCTCAGGACCACTCTGAGGATGCTGCAGACTTGTTGCTGTTTTGCTCCATCAGTTTCCTTCAGCTTAAGACAGAAATCCTGTATCTGCTTTCTAAATGAAACTTCTCATACACAGAAGTGAAGATTACAGTGATGTGTTGGTGGGTGTGAGAGGGATGAAAAAGGAGGCTGTTGTGACCAATAAAGTGCTCTTTCTCCCCTTTTTTTGGAGAATCACGCCTCCTAAATGTTTAAAGATCTTCAAAAGCAGGAAATTAGCAAAACTGTTGGAAAAAGTTTAATGCTCAAACGTCCTGCCGAGCTGACAAAAAYCTGGATTACGTCTGTGTTGGGGAGTTGAACAGCGGTAGGGAGGAGCTGCTTGAAGAGATTACAGCAGCCTTGGAGCGCTCCGGTGCTTTTATCTTCCAAATGAAACGTCTTCATTTAGCCGGCAAAACAATATTTACATATTCTGGCACGTTTACAGCTCCGTAATAAATCTAACCTTGATGTTACAGGAGGCTTTTTGAGCTGCTTGTTTGGGTAAATCTGCAGTGTTGACATGAAGATGCCAGTTTATTGTTCTAAAAGTGCTTTCTGTCATGTGTTGCATCCATCACCAAAACTGAGGTTCTGGTTTTTTTTTATGTGTTCAGCTCAGCATGTGTTGACGTTTCAAATCTGGTGAGCGCAAGGCTCCGACAGCTGCACAAATAAAGTATTGTAGGCTGTAAATATTCTGCTGGTCCGGCATGCGGGCACGCCACTGAGCTTCTGCAAATTTGTTTTCATCGTCTTTTGTAATTGACTGCTTGTTTGCAGCTCAGATAGTGTTTTATTGTTTTTTTTTCTCCCTGAACAGTTCTTATTTTGGCACACTGAAATTGGGCTGCAACTCACGATTATTTTAATAATCGATTAATCGGTTGATTATTTTTTCAATTAATRGGCCAAATCATTGAAACGCTTAATTACATGAATATGTGTAGATATAAATTAAGTTAACTCCTTAAGGATGCAAGTTATTGATAATGAATTAATCTGAAGTTGATTCATCTTATAGATTGACTAACAATTAATTAATTAATAAGCAGCCATTTAAAAAAACTGAGTTTTCTCTTGAATCAAGAGGGTCCTCCCATAAAATGAAGGACTTTTTTTATAATCTGAATTAAAAAACAGAAGCACATAATAAATATTTTAACTATTT